TCCGTCTCGTGCCTTTCCCTTCATATCTCTAAACTGTCCCAGGACTGCTGCTCCATGGACCTCCTGGAACGGGAAAAACTCTCATTGCGCGTCAAATCGGCAAAATGCTCAAGGCTCGCGAGCCCAAGATCGTGAATGGTCCTGAAATTCTGAGCAAATTCGTCGGTGCTTCAGAAGAAAACATCCGTAAGCTGTTCGAGGACGCCGAGAAGGAATACAAAGAGAAAGGAGACGAGAGCGAGCTGCATATCATCATCTTCGATGAGCTGGACGCCATCTTCAAGCAGCGTGGATCGACGAACAGCGGTACAGGGGTGGGCGACAGCGTGGTCAATCAGCTTCTATCCAAGGTTTGCACCTCGTTCCCCAAGCTGGATAGTCGCACTTATACCATGTCAGATGGACGGTGTTGACTCCCTCAACAACATTCTCATCATCGGAATGACCAACCGGAAAGACATGATCGACGAGGCGCTCCTGCGTCCTGGCCGTCTCGAAGTGCACATGGAGATCTCGCTACCGGACGAGAAGGGCCGCTACCAGATCCTCAACATTCACACCACCAAGATGCGCACGAACGGTGTCATGGACTCGGACGTGGACCTCGAGGAGCTCGCGGCCGCGACGAAGAATTTCTCCGGTGCGGAGATCAACGGTCTCATCAAGAGCGCGACCAGTTTTGCGTTCAATCGGCATGTCAAGGTGCGTGAGCTTTTTTAAAATAGAATAAAACACGTTGATCATAATATAATATAGGTTGGTACCATGGCTGGGATCAGCGACGACGTGGAGAACCTCCGCGTCAACCGGGGTGATTTCATGCACGCCCTCGACGAGGTCCACCCCGCATTCGGTGTGTCCGAGGAGGAGCTGCAATCGGTCATCCAGAACGGGATCATCCGTTTCGACAGCACCGTCGATGTACGTCCCTTTTTCCTTCCAACAATCCCTGCTGAACCTTCCATCCAGGAGCTCCTGCGTTCCGGTAGCCTCATCGTCGAGCAGGTACGGACGTCCAAGCGCGCACCGGTCGTCAACGTTCTTTTGCACGGCCCGCCGGGATCGGGTAAAACCGCGCTGGCGGCAGCGATCGCGCAGGCGTCACAGTTTCCCTTCATCAAGCTCATCACGCCAGACAGCATGGTCGGGATGGGCGAGGCCCAGAAAATCTCCGCCATCGCAAAGGTGTTCTCGGACAGCTACAAGAGTCCGCTGAGCGTCGTTGTCGTGGACAACATTGAGCGGTTGATTGGTCGGTCTTCCGTGTTGTTGGGTCCGAAAGGTTACTTACCTCTTTATCTTGGCGCGTAGAATGGTCCCCCATGGGCGCACGCTTTTCGAATCCTATCCTACAGGCGCTTTTGGTCCTCATTGGTCGGCGGCCGCCAAAGGTTCGCTCCCTTACGCTTTTCGTTCCCAAACACGATCTCTAACCTTTTCATCCGTTTCAGGACCGCCGTCTCCTCGTAATCGCCACCACCTCCAACCGCCCCATCCTCACCGACCTCGGCTTCATGGACTTCAACTCCGTGATGCGCGTCCCGCCGATCACCTCCCTCTCCGCGCTCGAGTACGTCATCCAGGAGGTGGACCTCTTCCCCATAGATGAGGACCGTCGCGATGCGCTCCGCATGCTGCGCGACGCGGGCTTCGACAGGAAGTCGCACGACGACCTCGGGTCGTCGAGGTTGCAGATTGGTATCAAGAAGCTGCTGAGTATTATCGAGATGGCGAGGCAGGAGCCGGACGCGGTTGCGGAGCGCCTCACGACTGCGCTTATGGAACTAGATCTTTGAGGACAGGGAGTGTATGATAGTGGGGGAAATAAATGGAAGCGGTAGATCCTGTGTACTTGTCTTAGATCGTGCTCTAATACAGCAAATTATCGAATGGCTCAAGACTTCGAGGGATTCCATAGTTTGTGAATCGAATAAAAATGAGCCACCCAAAAAAGGCATGCCTCAGATTTAATCTGAAGCCGTCGTGGCTGTACGATACGATAAAAATCTTATCTTCTCCGCCTAAATACAACCACTCGGTCCCGTATGACACCCTACTATCCTCGTTCTATACCACCATGGCCCCCAAAGCAAAGGCAACCCCCAAAAACCTAAACCCAATCACCGCGACCTCGCAGCAATCCCGTTTTCACACCGAGTTGCTCCTCACCAGTCTCGAGATCGATCTCAAAGGCGTTACAATTGCCATCGGAGAACGCGAACTCATCTCGTCCAGCCATCTACGACTCAAACAAGGGATCAGATACGGACTAGTTGGACGCAACGGATCTGGGAAGTCGACGCTCTTGACGGCGATTGGAGACAAGCTCATTCCTGGCTTGAATCCGTCCATCCGAATTCTCTTACTCTCCCAGGTAGAGGACAGTGCGCGAGCCACTGATATTCCGGGCGTTGGGTCTATAAATGTCCTCGAACACGTTGTCAAAGGCGACAAAGAAAGGCAGGCTGCGGTGGAAGAGCTAGAAGGCACGAATGCATTTATTCTCGCAATATAATGGAAATGTTGAATCGTCAATTAGTTTTGACCAAGGCTACCGAAACCACCTCTCTGCGCGAGACTCAACGTATCGTTTACGGGTTGCGTCTTGAAGCACGTCGCCGGGAGTTGCTGGAGGCTAAGAAAGTCGCGAGCCGAAGATCCGGGGCGCGCGGTAAAGACGCGCGATTGGAGGAAATCAAGGCCGAGGAAAATGTCAAACAGGCGGAGCTTCTGTGAGGGATGGGTTGCTTCTACCACTCCTAGGCTGACAATCCCTTGGAGGCTCGAAGCGGTTGATACGGCAGATATCGACCCTGATATTATGAACCAGGCTCTGGAGATGCTTCAAAACATCCAAGTCACGCTCGAACTAGTATGCTTTGAAGTGTCTGTATTGGGCTAGCCCTAATTTTGAAACCACAGCTCGAAACGTCGTCTACAGAGGCGCGTGCTGCCACCATTCTCTCGGGCTTGGGCTTCACCCAAGAAATGATGGACAGCCCTTATACCTCGCTTTCCGGAGGCTGGAGGTCCCGCTGTTCGCTTGCAACGTCGCTTCTCGTCCATAGCGATGTTTTACTTCTCGACGAACCGTCCAATTTCCTGGTCTGTATTCATTGCCGAATCTCCTTCAAATATTTATCCACGGATAGGACCTGGAAGCAATCATCTGGCTTGAAGGCTTCCTTAGCTCCGAGTCGCGTACTCTTGTGCTCATCTCACACGATCAAGAATTTCTGAACAATGTCGTCGAAGAGACGATCATCTTGCGAAATAAAACACTGGAGTACTTTGAAGGCACGCCCGCCGCCTTTGAGGTCAATGAACGGAAAAAGGCAAAGCAACTGACGAGTGCACAAGAGACTCTGGACAAGAAACGGGAACATGTGCGTCGTATCTTTGATACTGTATTATATTCTCATCTCTCTGGTTAGATTGAAAAGTCGATCCAACAAGGCATCGCCAGCGCCAAGAAAACTGGGGATGACAACAGGTATACAGTATTCGCTGTATTGCAACAATAATCTGACAAATTGCTGGAGGCAGCGGATGGTAAAATCGAGGCAGAAAAAGTCCGTCGTGTTTTCTAGTATTCTTCAGGCCCCAAGCTGATATCCATCTTCAGGCTCGATGAGCGCTGGGGAGTGGAAACTAGCGCGAAGGGCACACGGTTCAAACTCAACCGCGACATGGAGGGCTATCACCTTTCGAACCGAGGTGAAGTCGAGAAGATCGTCACCGAGGCGAGGATCAAAATCAACATCGAGAGTCCGCAAAAACTACGAACACTCGGGGACTTGATCCATTTTGACGCGGTTGAGTATCGGTTCCCGAGGGCTAAGAAACCATTCTTGGAGGATATCACTTTCACCATCAATCAAGGTGGTCGATGTGCGTTTGTAGGCGCGAACGGGCAGGGCAAATCGACAATCGCGAAACTCATCATGGGCACACTCAAACCTACGAAGGGCAAGATTATCCAACATCCACTTCTCAAGATCGGCTACTTCTCGCAACACTCTGTGGTTCGTACTCGCTCACAATTGCTCATCTCACTGTAGGTGCTGAAAAAGACTTTTAAGGAAGAGCTGTCGGGACCTCAGGCACAATTAACGACGGCACTCGCATATTTTTGGAACATTTCGAGGCCAAAGGCGAAAAAGTCGTCGAGCAGGATGCCCGGAAGTGCCTAGGATCATTTGGGCTCCAAGGCAAGATCGCGAGTGATACGCCGCTTGCGCAATTGAGTGGTGGGCAAAAGGCAATTTGATGACAGACCCCTCGCTATGTCAAACTCACCATGGATGATAGGTCCGGCTGGCCCTCGCGCTTATAGTATTCATCCCGCCCCCACTGCTGCTACTCGACGAAGTTACTACACACGTCGATTTTCCTACCATCCAGGCGCTCGCCCAAGCTCTCAAGACGTTCACTGGTGCCATAATCATAATTACGCACGACCGGTGAAGTTTTCCTGCCCCTTCTTTTTTAGACTTGCATCCTTATTCCTTTGTATAGTTGGTTCAGCCGTGTCGTGATCGAGGGCGAATCTCTGCGGCATGCTGCACCAGACGACGATGCATCGGATGACCCTTCTAGCGAGGAAGACGAAGAAGATATCACTCCACCTGGAAAGACATATCGTGTGGGCGGGGGAAAGCTGAAACTGATGGATAAGGGCATGGCTCAATATGTCGCCTTTGTTGAACGAAAATTGGCCAAGAAGAAACGGGAGGATGCCAAAACTTGATCCATCCCTTTTTCGTTGTTTTGCCCCGTTTTAATAATACTTTATCCTCCGATGCGTATTACGCACGGTTTTTTAATAATTGCCACAGTTCCAATCAACCAATATGAGTTGAGTCGCACGATTTTCAATGACTATCCTTTGTAAGCTCTAATGTGGTCAAAGCTGCAACTTAGCCTCATCTTCTGTGTAGCGGTCGTATGGAGGCGTCATGTAAGTCCGCAAGCGTTGCGCAAAAAGTCTAAAAACGCATTCAAACTCCTGGCGGGACTCGAACCCGCCAACCTCAGCGTTTATAAGAAATTTAGAAGTGCGGCGCCATAACCACGAGGCTACCTTCCGTCAGCGCAGTCGTTTTTCCCCCGTGTCGTGTTGAACGAAATTTCCTGACGCGGTGCAACTTGAACTTTGGGCATACTAGTAGTCGTTCAGTGGTCAACCACTTTCTATCATCATTGAACGGACACAGATCCTACAACTACAACCATGGATCTCTAACTTCCGAGCCCGATTGCAAATTGTACACATGCAAATAATTTGCAGAGGAAAGTTCTCCACTAACTCTCGTTTGCCTTCTGTGTGTTTCCACAAATCAAGTCCCACGGCTTTCGCCTTCATTGCACCGTGACGATTGGCCCACTCCTGCAGGGATGTCCGCGCGCGGTCGTGAATTCCCTTCGTATTGCATTTGCCCATCGAAATCGTTGCATGGGGTTTGAAATTCGGGTGAGGGAGTTTTAAACTCCAGCCAACACAGCTATAAGGAAACTGCTAAATTGACCTCCAAATGGAAAACCCAAGCTTACAATGCACAAATTTCGTCCCAAATTTTCTCGAGTTCGCCGGACAGGTTAATTGGCACTGCGACACATTTCTCGCCAAATGGTTCGTGTGGCATTCTGCCAAACACGAGGTCATGAGCAGAGCGTTTACTGGCGATCGTGCGTAGAGAATGCTTCAACGATGGGAGGCCCGTGTCCGTAACGCGCAAGAAGGATGCGATAGAGATGTGGACGGGGGTCCCAAAGGAACCGAGGCCTGCACGTAACGCATCGAGGTAGTGGTAGAATTTATCTTGCTTCCATTCAACTGTGATAGAGTAGCTCATCCAGATATACGAGGTCGGCCTTGGTTGGCAGAGGTAACATCGAACATAAGGTGGAAGGCACACGATCGATACAAGGTCCTCATGCTTGCAATGCGCCGGGGCATCGGACCGGGTCCAACGCCCCTATTTGTTTCACCTAACCTCAACCAAGACGATGCTAAATTCTGTAACAAGAAGGCCAAAGGGTTGGTAGAGTCAGTTAAAGTACTGGACTTGGACCGCGCCAGTTTAACTGCCTACCTGTGTGCAAGCTGAGAATCTGGCATTGGACACCGCTTTTGAATCGACAGCTATAAGCTGTCGGAAAGCTGTTTATCCTTCCTGACGTGGACCCACGATGCACAGGACCAGACAGCACCTGTTTCGCTTTTGCTACTAGTAATGATCGAGGGTCCAGCTTTTCTCCGCAAAATGGTTCAGTTCAAGACTCAGAGAAAAGATTGAAGTTGGACATTTATTTTTCCAGAAACGGCGAGATTAGTGCAGATGCGCCCCAGCAGGTCCCTCTTTTCGTCAACTGCCCACTTTCAAGATCAAGCTATAGGCGCCGTCACAGTATAAAGTGTGATGGGCGCCTACCGCGCCAACAAATTAGGCTTTCTATCCAGAACGTGTCGCGGGCGTTATAAGCAGACAATTCAGATGAATGGGGACCAATAAAATTCCCTTCTTGAGAGGAGCTGGGGCCTCAAATCATTGGCGTCGGAGCTGCGCGATCTGCCAAAGCTGCGCAATCTGTCAAACTGTGAGGAGCGTAAACGAGATCCAAAGGTTTGGGGCTGATAGACCAAAAGCGCCGCCGACTTTAAAAGCTTCAGACGGGCTAGTTTTATAAAGAGAGAGAAGAGAAGAGACAAGAGAGCATCACCCTTCCCTCCGCACAACCTTCATCACCATGCACCTGAAGACGCTGTGCTTCCTCCTTGTGTTTATTTTCACACTCTCGCTCGTCGAGGACGCGGCGGATCGCTCGAAAGACATGCGCGAGAAGATTCACCAATTGATCGAGCGCGCGGAGGCTGTAGGCGGCGCGACGGCCCTCCACGACCTGTATGACAAACTTGAGGCGTTCGTCAAGCAGCGCGCCACCGAAGACGCGGCAGAGCGCTCGAAGACTCATCAGTTGAGTAAGCGCATGGAGACTGTGGGCGGCGCGACGGCCCCGCACAACGAACTTGGGGCGTCCGTCAAACACCGCTCCATCGAGAACGGGGCGGAGCGCTCGAAAGACGTGCGCCAGAAGATTGACCAATTGAATCACATGGAGGCAATTGTGCGCGGCGCGACGGCCCTGCACGACGAACTTGGGGCGTTCGTCAAACGCCACTCCATCGAGGACACCCCGGAGCGCTCGAAAGACATGCGCGAGAAGATTAACATATTGAAGGCGTACATAGAGGGAGTTGTGCGTGGCGCGAGGGCCGTGCACGACGAACTTGAGGCGTTGGGCAAACACCGCGACATCGAGGACACGGCGGGGCGCTCGAAAGACATGCGCTCGAAGATTCACCAATTGAATATGCGCGAGAAGACTCATCAATTGAATAAGCGCATGGGGACTGTGGGTGCCACGACGGACATGCACGAGGAAATTAAGGCGTTCGCCAAACACCGCGCCATCGAGGACGCGGTGGGAGCTTGGGATTGGCAGGCAGGGATCCTCGGAGCGATTGTCTTGGGTCTTGGGTTGGGGTCTCTTTGCAAGCTGCGGGGGCCACAAATGAAGTGATACTGGCCTTGCACCGTCTCTTGTAGCCGGGGCTGCCTGGCCCAACGTACTTCCTTGAAATTGAATTTTCTGTAAATCAAGACGTCGATAATGTTCGGTAGGAGTCTGGCTCAATCTTGAAGTAACGTAGGACTTGGAAAACATAATAACACTTACTTAATAGACCGCCGAACGTTGAACTTTTTCGAGTCGATTGTTGCCGTTGAACCCAAGTTGACGTGTGAATTAGGCCATTGCTCCGCATGGCAGTACGACTCCAGTCTCTCAATTTGGGGGTTTTTTATTGCTATTTTCAAAATTAATGACACACCCCGAAAAAAAAAAAAAAAAAAATTGGTCTCGGGCAGCTTGGCCCCGAGACCAGCTTAGGTAATTGGAACCGCCGCCGGTTCGATCCGCTACGGGTGCAATCTTTTGGCAGTGGTGGAGCTGTATGGGTTTGAGTAGGATTAAGGTCCCTGAGCGACGGAGTCCTACGTTGTCTAAATGACCAACAATAATAATAGCAGCTTTATCCCGTCGCTCAGGGACCTTAATCCTACTCAAACCCATACAGCTCCACCACTGCCAAAAGATTGCACCCGTAGCGGATCGAACCGGCGGCGGTTCCAATTACCTAAGCTGGTCTCGGGGCCAAGCTGCCCGAGACCAAAACTTTTTTTTTTTTTTCGGGGTGTGTCGCACCGGAGTTTGAGCCAAATACGCATTGGCCAATATCCGGCCAATATCAGGTATATTGGCCAAATATTGGCCGGATATTGTCGCAAATATTGAACCGCAATTATTTAGACATTACAGCACATATTGGCCACATATTCACGGCATATTATTGCATTACATACAGCATTTTGGCTGGGGCAGCCCGAAACTTGGACTTCAACGTTTCGCGCCGCTACCATCACTTACATAATCCAAGCTCTCCTTCCTCCCGCCGCCATGGCCTCGGTGACGCGGCATTCATTGCTGCATACTCCCGTATCCGTTCCCCTCCAAATTTTGGGAGTCCACTCTCGCCATTATCCGGCCTTCGTACCCCGGTTTTCGTCCTGATTCAATCCAAATCAGACCCACTGTGAACAACTCCCATTCGCGACCAAGATCGACGCGTTCAGTGCTTCTAATGTTCTCTTATCTCACCGCCGTGTCTCAATACCCATCCCAGCGCCCTGGTCGGCACTCGAGACGCGATTTGGGACGGAAAAATACGACAACGGTGCGTGCGCTTCCATTGCTGAATTTGCTTTATAGCTGATAACATTCTACTTGCCCGATCCATCCAGCCATGCGTGTCCGAAAGTCGGCGTGGAAAAACTGCATCCAAGTCACGCCCCGTCTTGTCTATAAGACACTGGCACGGTCGACTGGGATAGAGTACAAGCCTTTGGTCGCTTCGTACGTGTACCTCTCCCATCCCTCGCCCTTCTTTCATCCCCTACTCAAGCTTCGTCCTTCTCACTGTGTTTTTCACGGGCAGTGCATGACCTCGTTTGAGGGCATGCGGGACGTGCGCGATCTTAGATGGTTGGAGTTGGCTGCACACAAAGGTGTGTTGGCCAAGTTACTTCTACCTACGCTTGATCCGACAGAGCATTAGGTCCAATGTCTGCTTCCTTTAGCTCCGGATGAACGGCACATCCCCTTCTCGCCTCGTGCTTGATAGCACTCACCAGTGAACGGTGTCGTCCTGCCGACTTGCAGTGTGCATGCCTGTAACGGCTCCAGGTGAGCATCACGAGTTTTTCTTGAGTTGTCCTCTTCTCATGCTCTATCTCTATTTCCCACTGCCAACTTGTGTAGCCATTCAATCGGCAGGATTCATGACGAGCGCGAGCGGGTACGTGTTATATATTTTCCTCATCCTTTTGCTAACAAATGCACCTGTAGTCCCCAATTGTCGCGCCGTCTCTCATTCAAGGTATTACACGCGCCGAGGTTCGTCAAACGCGCACCACTCTATGATACGACCTCACTGATTTCATGTAGCAGTCAATTGAATGCTCGTGAACGGACACGTTGAGGTACGTTGGTCACACTCACAGCTGATAAATCTTCGGACAGAGGACACCGGCTCTATTCAAATTTTTATTCGAGCGCATGCAGGGTGCAAGGTAATGTGTCGTCCATATGCCAGCTCACCGGCCTCATGCTGAGTTTGTTCGTGCAGGTATTGCGGGTCTAAGTGGGGACAATGTGCATGTTACAAGGCGTAGTTGTTCCATTGTGCTCGCGTAGTGTTTGAATACATTGAGTTTTGAAGTCATTTTGAAGTGTGCCGTGAGGAGAAATATCACCGCAGGACAATGTTGGAGTAATATTCGAACAATATGCGTCCAATATTTCGTTTATACAGCCCGTTTGGCACGGATATTGGCTGGGCGTTATTCCATCAAAATCTGGCCAATATTCGGCCAATACACCCCGTATTGGCCGGATATTGGTCGGTACGTATTTGCCTCAAACTCCGGTGGTCATTAATTTTGAAAATAGCAATAATTGTAACTCAGA